CCTACGGTTATTGTCAGTGATGGACGTTACTCCAAGAAAGCATACGAAAATTGTAACGCTACGCGAGCCTTACCAATGAGAAAATCAAAGTGCTATTGACTGGACTGGAAACTCTCCTGATTTAAATCTAATCAAGAATCTGTGGTTAATCTGCAAGGAACGACTTCGTAAATGGGACATATGAAGTATTAACCTGTGCACTGGGTCATGTTTCATTGGAAAAATACGATAAAAGTAAAATAATAACGGAATTTTTCGTTTTGTTTCAATTAATTTGCTCAAGGGTGTAGGTGATCATGGCCCTCCACATCTTCCGGTATAAATAATTTGGAGAAGGGTATAATTAAGAAAGAGGACAATTCAATAATTAGGAATGAGTAATATATTTTTGTTCTACTATTAAAATAATATATTAGAAGAGAATTAAAAGATTTGTTCTAAAATCGAATATTATTTTACAAAAACCTAAGTTTTGCTCCAGCTAATTTTTGTTGCTTTCTTTTTTGTCCTAACATTTGATGCCGATGCACACTTCATTATGTATTATCTAAAACCCAGATTGAACTGCTGCCAATTCAAATCTGAGAAGCAACAGTTATGTTCGTTCAAGGTTTTTGGACGCAGGAGCAAGAAACTCTGCAAACTGTGTGTCTGTGATAGCGACTCCAGAGTATCGGCGACCACCTGGTTCTAATTGCCCCGACGGAATCATTGAGGCACTTGAAATCCTCATGTTAAACCCTGAAGCTGTTCATTTTCGTATGACACTCTCCAGTTTTAAAAAAATGTCCCTAACTCATATCTGGGATCTCTTTTAGTTATCACTTGTATGCTGTAGGAGGATCTGTAAGAATTATGAAAAATCCGTCAGTATCTTTGGAAAGTTAACCTATAAGACCTATTTATCTATCAATCTCTCTCTCTCTCTCTCTCTCTCTATATATATATATATATATATATATATATATATATATATATATATGTGTGTGTGTGTGTGTGTGTGTGTGTCAAAAAAGCGAGAGCAAGATCTAAAAGGTCAGCTAATCTAACAGCGATCTCATCTCACAAACCTCACTCTTGCTGCATATGGAGCCTCCTTTGTAAATCTTTAGCGGGTCTTTAATGCCACTTAAGATTATCGCACAAACTTTAATAACTGAATCAATTAAGCTGTTAGATCCTCTTACGACGAAACCGACAGGAGATTCCATTATTATATATATATATATATATATATATATATATATATATATATATATATATATGTGTGTGTGTGTGTGTGTGTGTAGGAGTGAGTAGTTTCCTATATATATAAAAGAGTACAGAGAGTTTTTCAACACGTATCTGACTATTGCCACCTGCATGAAACTCAGAGATTTATCAAACAGTGAGGAAGTGAGAGACAACATGTATACTTATTATTAGTATATATATATATATATATATATATATATATATATATATATATATATATATATATATATATATATGAGTGTGTATGTGTGTATTTGTATGTACATGCAAATATATGAAATACCATACAGTTTTCAACTGTGCCTGACGATTGACACGAGCATGAAATTCAGAGTTTTGTCATTACTACACACACACACACACACACACACACACACATATATATATATATATATATATATATATATATATATATATATATATGTCACACTACTTCAACAGAATGTTTGTTTAGAATGGTGAACCTGGGTGCAAATGTATCAAAGAAGGTTCAGAAATCAGTGCACATTCAATAGATTTTCACCTTTATAACATTAGTCTAAATTTTTTATTAAAGCCGCATATTTTAAATCGAAAGTATGGTCAGATTTATTACTAGTGCATTGAATTTGTTGTTTTGTGAAACTGTTAATAAAATATTCTTCTAAAATCACTTTCATTCCACCTTGCATGTATAAACTTGCTTAAACTTTATATAGAATTTTTTCCAATTGTAATTACAAAGCTTTGGTGATTAAACCTTCAAGTTTACTTTCCTGTTGTTCGTTTTTTTTAATTCTCAATTGTCGCATCGAAATAAATGACCCAGGTTAATTTATATTAAATAAAGATTTTTCAAGTATGTAAATATTTCTTTCTCGGCAAACAATTGTAGTAAAAACTTGTGTTATTGGTAGAGCTAATTGAAAAGAATTAAATATTTAAAGTATGGCGATATCATTGATGAAGATCAAGCAGACGAAAAAGGAGAAATGTGGACGAATGTAATGAAAAAAGAGGGAGAAAAAAAGAAATGTTAACGAACGTAAAGAAGAAAGAAAAAAGAAAGAAAGAAGAAGAAGAAGAAGAAGAAGAAAGATGAACGAATGTAAAGAAAAGAAGATGTGTAAATGAATGTAAACGAAGGTAAAAAAAAAGAAAGGAAAAAAGAGGACGACAACGAAGAAGAAATATGAACGAATATAAAGAGGAAAAGAAAAGAATGTAAAGAAAAAAAGAAGAAAAATGAGCGAATGTCAAAAAAAGC